TCCCTTACCTTTCCTTTACCTTTAAATGGATGTCTTCCTTTGGCTTTCATGAATTTTGTAAACTTTTTTATCATAAGACTCAATTCTTCTTCTTCATTCTTCGAGTCTTCTTCTTCCTTTTTATTTTTACCTTTGGAAATTTCGGTTTTGAAGGCTAAGTTCTTCTTTTGATATTGACCTTCCTCATCATTTAGCCTTCCTAGCTCTAGCTCATGCTCTCTCAACATTCCAAAGAGCGCCGCCATAGACATTGTGGCAAGGTTTTGTGACTCTGAGATGGCCATCACCTTAGGTTGTCATTTCCTATCCAAAGATTTTAAGATTTAAACATTTAATTCATCAACGTCAAAAATTTTACCTAATCTGGTGAGATGGTTCACAATATGAGTGAAATGCTTTTGAACGTCAAATATCGTTTCGCCTTGTTGCATTCGGAACATCTCATATTCTTGGATTAGGGAATTTTTCCATGCTCTCTTAACGTCGTCAGTACCTTCGTAGGTCACTCTTAGCATTTCCCACATCTCTTGAGCACTTTTACAAACAGAGATCCTGTAAAACTCGTCAAGGGTTAAAGCAGATGAAATAATATTTCTAGCCCTAACGTCAAATTGAGCTTTTCTATTTTCCTCTGTTGTCCATCTAGAAAAAGGTTTAGGAACGTCTACTCCGTTCTCAGTAACTTTAGGAATGTAGGGACCGTTTAAAATAGCGTCCTAAATGCCTCTATCAACAGACTCTAAAAATATTTGCATTCTAACTTTCCAGAAAGGATAATTTTGACCAGCAAAAAGTGGGGGTCTGTTGATAGACGCACCTTCGGCAAAAGTTTGATTTTGTCCGGCCATTTTTGAAAAGTTTGAATGACTATCAAAGCAAGCTCTGATACCACTTGTTAGAATTGCGCAGCAAAATGTTCGCGTTGTAAAAAAAAAACCAAGAGGGGGGGTGAATTGGTTTCTTAACAAAAATTAGGTTTTAAAAATTTTCCCCAAATTTTACCAATTAAAATGTTGTGTAAACATAAATAAGATAGAGATAGAGTCTTACACAGGAGATTTATACTGGTTCGGATCAAAAGACCCTACGTCCAGTTGCTAATCACTCAAACAGAGGATTAACGTTGTCACTATAATCAAAGTTGTTACAAACAGATGACAATGGAAAAGATAAAGTAAAGAAAACACCTATCTTGAAACCCACAAGAGATGAAGAACAACTTTCCCTAGAGACGGCACAACACACAATCCACTAAGAACTCCACTTAGTGATTCTTATCGCTTCTAGCCCACACCAGGTTCCAAAAGCCCCTTTTTCCTCCAACAAACAGTTCTCTGGCAATCATAGCTCTTAACTTTTTTTTGAAAAAGGTTGTTCAATTTTCTGAGAGCCTTAGAGTAAGTAGATGAATTAGGGTTTGGGAATTGGGGATTTTTGGAACTTGGAGTATTGGGATTAGGGTTTTCGAAAATAGGTTTAATTTGAAGTTGAAAATCCAAATCTGACTGAAATAATCGATTAAATGAAGTGTTAATCGATTATTACAGAGCCAAAATCAACAAAACCCCAACACGCACTGGTTTAATCGATTAAGTGCCCTGTTAATCGATTAACAGGTGTGTTAATCGATTAACACAGTGAGCTGATACAGAAAATGGTTTTTCTCATTGTGATAATCGATTATTTGATGTTTTAATCGATTAAACCCAAGGCTTTTTGATAAATATGAGTTTTTGAAGCTTCTAAAGAGTAGACTATGTACCGACTATCTTAGACTCTAATATTACAGACTCAAACTCATCAAAACAGAGTTATTACACAACAATACAAGTCTTCAACACTCTAAGTTCTTTGTTCTTGAATCATCATCAAAATCAACAAGCTTCATGTCCATGTAAGTTCAACATCAAGTCCTTGTATATTCAACACAATTCTTCATATGCATTTTGTAATTCATCAAAGTTATTTTCATCATCACTTGAGGATGAGTCGGAATCACTAACCTCAAAGTCGGAAGATATGTTGTCATTTGCCATCAAGCAAATGTTAGCTTCTATTTTCGAATCACTTGACTCCGAACTCGAATCACTATTGTCCCAAGCGATGTAGGCTTTCTTCTTGAAGAATTTCTTGCCTTTGTTATTTTCATTCTTCTTGTTTGGACATTCGGTTTTCACACGTCCTGTTTCACCACAACCATAACATTTGATATTTAAGGAAGTATTTTCTCTTACCTTTCCCTTACCTTTGAATGGATGCTTCCCTTTGACTTTCATGAATTTGGTAAATTTCTTTATCATAAGACTCAATTCTTCTTCTTCATTCTCCGAGTCTTCTTCCTTTTTACTCTTACCTTTGGAAAATTCAGTTTTGAAGGCTAAGTTCCTCTTTTGGTGTTGACCTTCTTCATCATTTAGCCTTCCTAGTTCAAGCTCATGCTCTTTCAACTTTCCAAAGAGCGGCGCCATAGACATTGTGGCAATGTTTTGTGACTCCGTGATATCCGTCACTTTAGGTTACCATTTCCTATCCAAAGATTTCAAAATTTTTACGTTTAATTCATTAACATCAAATATTTTACCTAACCCGGTGAGATGGTTCACAATGTGTGTGAAACGCTTTTGAACGTCAAAGATCGTTTCTCCTTGTTGCATTCGGAACATCTCATATTCTTGGATTAGAGAATTTTTCGATGCTCTCTTAACGTCGTCGGTACCTTCGTGGGTCACTCTCAACATATCCCACATCTCTTGAGCCCTTTTACAAAAAGAGATCCTGTAAAACTCATCAAGGGTTAACGTAGATGAAATAATATTTCTAGCCCTAACATCATATTGAACTTTTATATTTTCCTCCGCCGTCCATCTATAAAATGGTTTAGCAACATCTACTCCGTTTTCAGAAATTTTAGGAATATAGGGACCGTTTAAAATTGCGTCCCAAACACCTTTATCAACAGACTTTAAAAAGATTTGCATTCTAACTTTCCAGAAAGGATAATTTTGCCCCGCAAAAAGTGGGGGTCTATTGATATAAGCACCCTCGATAAACGTTTGATTTTGTCCAGCCATTTTTGAAAAATTAAATGACTATCAAAGCAAACTCTGATACCACTTGTTAGAATTGCGCAGCGGAATGTTTGCGTTTCCGGACAAAAACCAAGAGGGGAGTGAATTGGTTTCTTAACAAAAATTAGGGTTTTAAAAATTTTCCCAAATTTCACCGATTAAATTGCTGTGTAAAGTAAATAGAGCAAGAATAGAGTCTTACACAGATGATTTATACTGGTTCAGATCAAAAGACCCTACGTCTAGTTGCTGATCACTCAAACTGAGGATTAACGCTGTCACTATAATCACAATTTTACAAATAGATAACAATTGAAAAGATAAGGTAATAAAAACACCTCTCTTGAGTCACACAAGAGATGAAGAACAACTTTCCCTAGAGACGACACAACACACAATCCACCAAGAAAACCCACTTAGTGATTCTTATCGCTTCTAGCCCACACTAGGTTCCAAAAGCCCATTTTTCCTCCAACAAGCAGTTCTCTGGCAATCACAGCTCTCAACTTTTTTTTGAAAAAAGGTTGTTCTATTTGCAGAGAGCCTTAGAGAACCTTAAGTAGACAGATTAGGGTTTGGGAATTGGGAATTTTCGAAAATTGATGAATTAAGACTAGGGTTTTTGAAACTTGGTCCATTTTTTAAATTCAAAACACATATCTGATTGAAATAATCGATTATCTTGAGTGTTAATCGATTATTACAAAGCCAAAATTATCAGGAACCCATAACCACGCAGTTTAATCGATTATTTGGCCTGTTAATCGATTAACAAATGATTATTCCAAAGAGCTGATACAGAAAATGGTTTTTCTCTCTGTAATAATCGATTATCCTGCCTTTTAATCGATTAATCCAGTGTGTTTTTGATAAAAATGAGTTTTTGAGGCTTCTAAAGAGTAGACTATGTGCTGGCTATCTTAGACTCTAATATTACAGACTCAAAATCATCAAAACAGAGTTATTACATCATATTACAAGTCTTCAAATCTTTACGTCCTTTGTTCTTGAATCATCATCAAAATCTACAGGCTTGATATCCATGTATGTTCAACATTCATATCCTTGTATATTTCAACATATAGGACAACTTACAAGACATTTGTGGGACTGACTCCATTTCAGCTTTTTTATGGTAAAGCTTGCCACCTGCCTGTAGAATTAGAGCATAGGGCATTTTGGGCCCTTAAGTCTTTGAATTATGACCTGAAGATGGCTGGTGAAAGGAGAAAACTCCAACTGCATGAGTTAGAAGAGTTAAGGTTGCAGGCCTATGAGAACAACAAGATCTACAAGAGCAAAGTAAAAGCCTATCATGACAAAAAAATCTTGAAGAGAAAATTCCAACCAGGTCAATCAGTTCTCTTGTTTAACACAAGATTGAGGTTGTTTCCGGGAAAACTTAAATCCCAATGGTCAGGCCCCTTTTTGGTTAAGACTGTCAAATCATATGGGGCAATAGAACTTGAAGATTCCGCCACTGGGAGAACCTGGATAGTCAATGGTCAGAGGCTAAAACCTTACTTGGGAGGTGAAGTTGAGAGGCTCACCACCGTCACACATCTAAAGTGATTGGAATTGTGTCAAGCTAACGATAATAACTTAGCACGTTGTGTTATTTTATCTATGTTGTTTATTTTTGTCAATGTAATCTAATTGTTTTGATGTGAGTACATGTAATATGTGTGATAGTTTTTTGTAGTGTGGAGTGTTTAACAAAGGAAGCAAGCAAAAAAAAAGAAGGGCAAATGAAAAGTTGAGTTGGTCCTGGCCCAGGAAACACGTAAATATTGAAAGAAGAGTTATGCCTCTTAGAAATATGCCCAAGATGAGGTTGTGAAACATTTTGCTAGGCACTTGTGGAACTCATCATGCGCCCAGCGGATCACATCAGGTAAGGTAAGTTGTGGGAATTTTTTTTTTTGCATTAAGCTGCTCAGTGCCCAAGGAATGCGCTCAGGGGATTGAGCTCAAAACTGGGGTTGGTTGCAGTGCAAAATCCGCCCAGCGCCTAACCAATGCGCCCAACGGATTAGCTCCAAAACAAGGGGTGCATGCGGTGCAAAATCCGCCCAGCGTCTCAAACATGTGCCTAGCGGATTTTGGCCACAAAGGAATAGGTTCATGCGCTGCCAAATCCGCCCAGCGCATTTATAATGCACCCAACGGATTTTGGCTATAAAAAAAAAAAGAAGGGTGTTTTCAAAAGGGGTGAATTCCTATTTTCTCTCATTTTCACTCTCTTTCTCACACTCAACTCTCTCTCTTTCTCACGCTCATCTCTCTCAAACCCCAACTTCACCTTTTTCTTCACTTCATCTTCACCTTACTCTCCAATCTCAACTTCTCCTTCACATTCCCCTTCCCCTCCTCTTCTTCATTGCATTATGTGAGCCTCTTGCCTTTTGTTGTCACTCTCCACAAGGTACATCCTCTTCTCTCCATCTTCTCACGCTTATCTATTTGTTTTTGGGATGACTTTTGTTCTTTCTTTTGATTGTGAGCTGTTTCTGGGAGTATTGGTGAGGGGTTTATTAGGTTATATGAATTATTGGAGGAAAATGAAGAATTGCCCACCAAGTTTTTTGATTAATTATTTAAATTGTTTCCATGTTGAACTCTCTTTCTCTCTTGTGATTTTACTGCTATTTTGGTGAAATTTCTTTTTAGGAATGATTGAATGATGGGATTTTTGCATGAGTTGATATAAATGTGGTTAGACACGCCATGTGTTTGACTAAATTCCCATTTGAATCTAGTGCATATTTGGTTATCTGTGTGTGTAGTGTTTGATGATTTTGTGGAATAGAAAGTAGTTTATGTGTGTATGGTCACATTGCTTACCCAATTTGTGATTATTTGGTTTAGTGAATAGCTTACTTGTGTCAACATGCATCAAGTGTTTAATTGATTGAATGGGTAGCAAGTGTGTCTTTGTCTATTTCATTTGTTTACCAAGTGTTTGTAAAAGTGCCAACATCAGTTTTGATAGTGCAAATAGGGCTCCACTCTCTTCTAATATGTTTAGGGGTCATAATGATGGGTTGTACGTGTGTTAATATCCTTTCGACTAACCCATGTCTCTCTGTTTTGCATCTAACCCCTTTTGCAGTTAATTTATTTCTTACCTCACTGTAGCATCATGTCAAAGAAATCCACTCACCAAATCCCATCATCTAAGAAGCAGAAAGGCCAATCTTCTTCCCAAGAAACAATTCCTGCTGATACTATGCCACTGTCATCGTTCATTTGGCATCGTGGAAAATTTTTAACTAAAGAAAAACAGCAGTGCTTCTTAGACATTGAGGGCAGAAAAATCTTAGAGGAAAGGAGTGTAAAGCTTAAACCTGGAGAGTGGGATGAGTTTTAAGAAGAGATAAATAGGAGGAATTGGGGAAGATTGGCTCAGCCTGAAGAAACATTTAATGAGACACTCGTGAAAGAATTCTATGTCAATGCTTTTCCTCTCCACAGGACAGAGAAGAGCAAAAATTCTTGGGTTAGGGGCACTCACATCCCCTATGATAGGGACACCATTGATGAGTTTTTGGGAACTAACTACAACATTAGGGACGACGGGAGGGATACATTCACCAGGTTGCGAAGAAATATGTATTTCCAGCCCAGCGTGCTTACATCTATTCTTTGTCTACCTGGGAGATCATATGAGGTGGGGCGTACTGGGAAGCTAGTTAATTTTTTTAGGAAAGACTTGAAGACGCTGGTCCGGATTTGGCAGAGTTTCATTTATTACAACATCATGCCTTTGACTCACATTTCTGATCTAAACACCCCCCGAGCTGAAGTCATTTGTTGCATTCTGGAGAGGTATGGATTGGACATAGCCCGTATCATCTCTCAAGAGATTTACTCCTGTGTGCTCTCAGCACCATCACCCTCAAGAGTCAGCAAAGCCCTTGCATTTCCAGGGTTAATTATGGGGTTTCTGAAGACCAGTATCCATTCCACCTCATCCCTCTAGACCACTACGACCCCCAATCAATGCTGCATACATTATAGCTCATTTCCATAACCCGGATGAAGGAGTACATGGCCCTCAACCGTTAAGACAGCCTCGTCGTGGTCCTGTTCCACCTTCTGATCTAGCAGACCTTTCACTACAAGTTTCCAACCTTTCTATAGTTGTTCAACACATGGGGCAAATGCAAACTTCCAATCACTTGGCCCTACAGTCCCTCAACAACAGTCTTTATCAGCAGCACCAGTGGCAGTTCCATGCAGGTCCAGAGTTTTCTTGGCCAACACCAACCACCTTTGATTCATATATTCAGTGGCCTGGGGACATGCCTATCTTTCCAGGAGGGGGGCAGGGCAAACAACTAGCAGAAGATGAGGAAGTGGAAGCAGAACAGGAGGAAGAGGAGCCCTGATCAGGAGTAACATTGGCATTTCTTGTTTTTTTGTTTTAATATTTACATATGTTGTGCAGTAGTAGCATTTAGTTCATTTTGGTAGCTAGCAGTCAGTCTCTCATTTTGGTAGTTGGACTAGGCTAACTTGTAGTAGTGTATAACTTTCTTTAAATTAGTTTTCAGTCTTAGGAGTAAATACTCTTTTTGGTCAAAATTAGTCACTTTTTGGTAAATTACACTTTTTGGTATTCAGTAGGAATCACTTTTTGGTACAACATTTTCTTAGAAAGAAAATATAATAGAAAGAAAACCATACCCTTTTTTGTTGATAAACTCAAATTTTTTTTGAGAAGAAAACTGTCGGTTAAAACAAGAAATAAGATTGATGATTTTGTTGACTTTAAATCAAGTGGTTGAACTTTGTTAATCAAGTTCTGTAACTTAGAGTATCTTCAAGCAAGTCTGGAACAAGTTTGATACTGTCTGAATTCTAAGAACACAAACCAGTCATGTGAGTAGTGAGTGAACAAGTGAGTTAAATAGAATAGATTCTTCTGAGATTCAGCATTGTGCATACTTATTGATTTTGTTTGAGTCTTTTATGAGTTCTCTTGATTGGTAATGCATGGAAAGGATCAAGGCAAAAATTTTCTTTGTCAGATTTAAAAGCTTAACCAGTGCCAAACAGCCATCCCATAAAAGTAAATATAGCCTTTGCTGAAAACCATATTCTAGCCTTATATACCCGGTTATAACCCCTCAACCTAAATGATAATTTCCTCACCCCTATCCAAACTCTAGGGAGCAAAATGGAATTAAATTTGAGACAAGTTGGGGGGAGTCTTGAAAGAAAAGTTGTGAAGTGGTAGTTCTCTTGGAACTAATGGAAGGAGAACTTAGTTCTCTAAGCTGCTAAAAAAAAAAAGACTTTGAAGAAAGAAGACAAACCAATAAACTAAATAGGGTTGTGCTTCAAAAGTTGACAGTTATATGGGACAGTTGAGGTAGAAAAAGGGATTAGAGAAGGATAATTGGGGTTGAAAATATAGAGTAGACAAATCATCAAAACATTAATTCTGAGTTGCTCTTTAGAAGTTTGGCTTTTGTTTATCCAGAATAACCATGAATTCTTGTAGCCAGGCCTCATTACAACCCTTCTAAGACCTTAGTGATCCATGCTTAGCCTATTCTTGTGACTCATGAAAAATGTATACCAAAATTGATTCAGTGTGTGCAGTGTTTGAATAGAGAGTTGCATTCACAATTTACATAGAATTTGAGCGTCATACAATACAATGAGAAGTTTGATTCTAGATTGAAAGATAGTTGATAAGGAGTAAAGTTCTTGCTTGAAAATGATTATTGTCACTTGACTTTTGGTTGGTATGTGGTCACCATTTGATTGTTGAGTCACTAATCTCAATCTTGATCTCTTTGTGTTTAACCTCAGTGTTCTATTTACTTGATCTCTTGTTGGTCTATTTTGAAATCTTACACCTTTTTTTTGAGGACAAACAAGGTTTTAAGTCAGGGGGAGTTGTTAAGGAGCTAATTGAGCATAAATTTCATTGAGAAACTCACATTTTTTAGACAACATTTGCATCTTTTTGCTGTAATCTTAATCTTAAAGAGCATAAAAATAATGAGAAGATTTTATCAAGTAATTATTCTCTCAAGTTGTTCTTTGATTCAGGATTTGAAGGAAGAGAAAGAGAAATTTTGGAAGAAGAAAATCAGCCCAACGCACACGAGCGGCGGCCAGCGCATTTTGGCTGAAACCCAATCCGCCCAGCGCATTTATAAGGCACCCATCGGATTTCCCTGAACGAAGTGGGTGCATGCGGGGCTCAATCCGCCCAACGCATCATCCCGGCGCCCAGCGGATTTCCCTCTTCTTAGACCTAATTTCTATTTAAGAAACAAAACAACAGATGGAAGGAGGAGGCTCGCGCAGGGAGAAAGAAAGAAAGACGGTTTAGACCTAAAGGAGCTCGTGGAAACGCATATCAACTTGAATCCAACAAGTTTTGTTGTAATTCCTTCTCCTTCTTCTCTTGCTTTGTAGTGGGTTCCTCCATGAGGAGCTAAAACTCTTTAGGTTGGATTGCATGTAACTACTTTCAGACCATTTCTCTATATATATGATTTTTGTTTGCTACAGTTGTGTTTGATTCTATTCTTAATGCTTTCTTCGGAGTGATCAACCGATTTAAGATCTTAGGGTTTTGATTGTGTTGGAAAATGTTTTCATTAACCGAAAATGGATCAAATGCTTAATAGACAACCTCTCTAGGAATAAAAGTGTGTTTATTAATCACGTTAATCTCAAGATTTATTCGTAAGGCAGAGTGTTGGGTTTGAACTGTTGAGGAATCACGTTCATGGTTAACACCCTAGGACTTGGTTTTGAGGAATCGGGCCAAGTTATATACTAAGAGTGAAATTGTAAAACAGAAATTATATGGTTAGGAAATAGGGCTGGAAGAAAGTGCATGTAATTCAATCTGCTTTATTTATAATCACTTTTCGTTATATACCAAAAATTGCGATTATTTTAGTTGTTTGCCTCAAACCATACTTTCAATCCATGATGACAACCATATCTTATCTGCAATATCACTAAGTCACAAATCCCTGTGGACGACAACTCTTTACTACATCGAAACTTGGTACACTTGTCGGGTAATCTGAATCCATGAGTGAAAATATTAACATACTGGGACTACAAAACTTGTTCTTTTAAAGAG